CTCTATCCCTGAAAAGGGGCAGACGATTTATGAACTGCTGATCTGGAGAGCAATTTGTCGTAAATGGAGAAAAGGATGAATCCTATGAAGGTAAGCTTAAAAATAAAGAATTTAATCTTATTTCAGCTCCAACTGTAAATAAACTTTACAGCCTCCATGAAAGAAGCCTTAACTGCACATGATTTCTTTTCTATAAATGAAGTTCAATGAAAGCATGGTTTGTTTTAACCAAAAATGAAACAGGTTCAACAAACAAGCTACATCTTTTTCCCCCAAACCCTACAAAATAAACCAGGCATGTGGGGCCATATTCAGAGCACTTTTTTTCCAGCTAGTTACTGGGAACAAATAAGACTCCATTACATATGCTGGGTGAAATAAATGGACTGTAGAATAATTCAGAGCACACACAGAACTCCTAGAAGTTGACTTCAGAGGCGCTCACTTAGAAACAGCATGGATTAAAACCCATAAATTATCCCTTGAACTTTGAATTGGTTAACAAATATTCCTTTTGCATCGGAGAACAGCAACAGATTTTAAATCAAACCTTGATGGCTCAGAGGGCATTTTATTTTGCAACTAGTGAATAAAATCAAGAAATGTCCTCTTCCTTTCCCCCCATAACCTCCACCAGCAATTTAAAATTCAGCTTTGCTCACTGTCTGCGCTCCCCCCTTCCAAACCTTCCAAAGTCTTTGATTCCCTAGCACAGATCAAGCAAATACAAATCCCAGTCTAAGATGATAGCATATCTATATCCTTAAATAACTACTCTTCAAATTTTACTTCTTTTAATTTATGTTATGTGTTATTGTATCTTTTCACAGTCTGTATCAACATTTGAATACAACACTCGGATGCCCTCTTTGGCTTCATGCCTCAAAAAATTTCAGAGCTGTGTATTTCACAAACACAGCCTTTAAGGAGGAATAATCAAAACAAAATGGCCATAGTTTGAAGTTCACTTGTTAGGCTCATTTTCTGTTTAACAAAAGGTTTCCCCCACTGTTATCAATGGCTTATCAGCACTTTATAGCGAACAGTGGAAATTCTTCCAAAGACAACATAAAAACTCAGAAGGGGGGGGGGGACATTGGCTAGGGAAATGCTAGTTTCATTATACAGAGTATAGGAGGGGTTTGAGGAAGTCTTAGTCCACAGAAAAAGAAATTATACCCGCCTTTATCATGAATTAAAATTGTCTGAGCTGACTTTGAAACATGGGGCAGATGGATCTATCCATCCCAAAGCAAGCAAGGGAAAAAAAGTCAGTATTAAGACAAAATTACTTCTGCATATTGTAGCAATACAATGTTTGTTATTTTTTTTATTTATTTACTTCTATTTATCCTTACATAACTGATATAACAAATATATATATCAGTATTTATAAACTGCTTTCAGCTGAAAATTTCAAAATGTACAACCTAAAATCCACAACAGAGAAAATGTGTATGCTATATCTACATAATTCATAACAATAAAACACATGGCACTAAATCAAATTTTAGAGTAGAGTTATTGAAATGAATGGGACATGTTCATCATAGGTTCTGTATACTTCAGTAGGTCTACTTTAACTGGATCTAAAAATGGACTTATTCCATGGTAGGCTGAACTACACTGAGACAACTTACAAAAATAAGCTAGTCTTTAACACATGCCTAAAAACAAGATTTATCAGTGTATGTATAATATAAAGGGCAAAACTACTCCAGGAGTCCTGCTGTAATCAACTATGAAGCAGATTCCCAGAAGTGCATGACACCACTACACACTTGGTCACAGAGTAGCCTAAAAGACCAGATGGGTTTGTGGGATGAAGGCCATGCTACAGTTAATCATTGTGGTGGCCCACAACCAGTACAAAATATCACGTTCTCCAATAATACTTTCCTCTTAAGCAAATTGCAAACCTACCTTTGCAACATGCATTCAGTACATGAGCCTGAATCCCCTCCCCCATTTTTCGATGCACATACTAAAGCTACCAATGCACACACACTTGTTAAAAGCTTTCACACATCCCTGTCCTTCACTGTTATAAAACTAGCTGGCAGTTCCAAAACTAACAAACACCTGATGTATTTCTATCCTCTTCTTCTGTCTGGACCACATAATACCTTCATATGTTCATTCTTAGGAGTTCAACCACAGAGATCTGCCCCCAGATTCTCCAGGCCTGAACTCAGCACCCTCCTGACACTCTCCAGGTTGGACTGCACACAGGCAGGATTGATTAGACCTGCTGCTAGAGCCAAATTAAAGGAACATTTTCCATAATTTCAGGAGGCCCTATAATAGACGTATATTTGAGAGGTACAGGACAGATAATATTTCCATACAAAAATAACGTGGAAAAGTTATGACGATTAATATTGTAACTATTATCATAATCATTTGCTTTCATATGTTGCAGAAAGGCATCTGACACTCACCATGAGCCTTTTAGTTCACCTTGCTGTTCAAAAGGACACTGATGATGTGAGATAGCAATTAACCTGGACATCTCCAAGAAAGCGACTGAGTCTGGATTTTTTTTCCCAGCAACATGGTGCAAACACCAGTTTTTAACTCCATTTTCTCCTCCATCCTCAAATCACTTACTGTACAGAACAGCACCCAGCCATAAAAATTAAACATGACCACCATCACAAAAATAAGTTGTCAAAATTCTGATACTAGTTTATCAGTTTAAGAAGTATGTAAGTTCCCTCCAACACTCTTTAGATATATTTTAATCGGTTACTGGGATGCATCTGTCTGGCCCATTGTAAGAAAAGAATTCTGGACTAAACAAGCTTTCTTGTGTTCTTGAGGGAAGGAAGGACAGAGCAGGAATTTATAGAAGTGTTAATTTGTGGGAGAGAAAAATGGTACTTTTTTCATGAAGATAACAAGACATAAAATGCAAGGTTCTCTTTTGTGAATTATTCTGTACTAGAAATAGAAGGAGAAAGAACTGTGGAATGGTCATTCAAACTCTTACATTATTGGTTTAAAAAAAAAGTTACGGATTCCATTCCCAATTTAACAGCGCCATGGTGCTTTTAAATTTAGAGAACACCCTTGAGTAAATGCCCATGTCTTTATATGATCACAGAACATTAGAGGGTGCAGTGAAGCTTTTCAAAAAGCAATACTTCAGATAATTCAGAGCTTCAAATCACAGAAGACAAGATGAATATGAGGAACACATAACACAAGAACTTGTTCGGTGCTCTTTTGTGCCCTCTGCTGATAGAAAAGCAGAGTCAACTTTCTTCCAGACCTATTAAGAAAGATGTCAGAAATCCATGTAGGAAATCCAAGCAAGTCACAAGATGAATTTCAAGTCTCATTAGAAGTACCCCTTGAGAAGGATACAGAGTATCCTCACAGAGCAGTTTGAGAAAGATACAACCAGTCTTATCTAATTATTTAGCTACAGTTACAAATCATCTGATTTAATCCGTAAGAGCTGAGAATAGACATGGGCACTTCGTATTCATATCCCCGGGGGCACGAGTATGAAGCATGGCATCACAGGTGCCATGGAGGTCCATTCCTCCTCCCCAGAATCAGAGGGCCCATTTACCACAAAGCACACATCCATCATTATCAACATTGTGCCAATCGAGGAAGTAACCTGGCCGGGGCTTCACCACCTCCCCACACAGCCAGCCGACCACTCCAGCAAGGAGGCAGAATAAGGAGTCTCCCCACTCAGCTCTGCGGGGAAGGACCAGCCAGGCTACTTCCATTGGTGTTATGCTGATGCCAATGGGTATGCAAACCGCACGGCAACTAATGAATGGATCACCTGGTTCTGGGGTGAGGGAATGGACCTCTCTGCAGCACCTATGGTGCCACACTTCATATTCGTATCCCCAGGGAGGGAATGGACCTCTCTGTGGCACCTACGGTTCCACACGAAGCACCCACATGTCTAGCCGAGAATAAACCTTCCACTAAATTCATTTTAGACAAGGCATATACAGTAATGACGAATATTAGTGGGTCTCACCGTTTTATGAAACTCCCATGCCTTGGACGTTCACCAGATCATTGTCCATTTGAAGAACAATACATTTCGGGAAAGCTTACCTGTTAAATCATCCCAAAGCTGCCTCATTGCAAAGTGATACTTCGAGACATTCCCATATGTTTTTAAACACTATGATCTATAATGGAAACCTGTAGGTCTGTACTGCTATATACATCCTGTAAGATGAAGCAGGTGTTCATGGCCTGGACAGCAGGCACACAGCCTTCTCATTAACCCCAGCAAGAGTGGCAAATATGACCTGTCACACAGTTCACACAGAAACATCTTTGTGCCATATCCAAAAATGATAAAATAATGACGATGACATAATTACTGAGAATTCTGGCTTACTAGGAACAAACTAGCACTTTGAGCAGTTGTTTGATAGCTCCTGATTGGCTTCTCCAGCCAGCAGGAGGAGCTAAACAAACAAGGAAACCTCCTTCTGCGGCTTGTTTAGCATGACTTTCGATCTCAGGATCCCTGCCTTATTAGTTCCCAGCAGACGAAAATGGGAAGCCATGAGCCTAGGCAATGTGGATATAACCCACGTATGTTAACTCCCAAAGAATAACTTTCCCATCTCAGTTAAAACTCTTTTACAAGCCCTATCATTACATAGACCTTCACAAAGACATGTTTTTGGCAGGTAAAAACAACAGCAACCACACTGTCCCACCTCCCGCCAGCCAGTTCATCACAGGGAAGAGGCAATGCTTCTCACATCAAGTCAGAACCCACTGATTTAAAATACTAGAAAAGCCCTGGAGTGGGAGAAGATTTCTGGCACAAGGAGGCTTCAGAAGTGCAGTGACTTCCCAAGAAACAGATAGGAAAGTGATTGTCTCAACAGCTGGAAAGTGTTAATTAAAAGCAACACAAGCAGAATGTTAACATCACTTCCCAGAGTTTAAAAAAAAAAAAAACCGGGGGCAGCAGCAACAGCAGGAGGGGCCGCCTTCTGACTTACCTTAAGATACAGAAGCAGGTCTTGGCCCCGGAAGATAAGCGGCAGAATCCAAACCTCTGTTTGCTGTCAATGTCTGTAAGCACAAAAGTGAAGTTCTGGCCCACTTGGCCGACTGCAATGCTGGAAATGGGGAGAACAAAGGAATCTCTGAACAGGCTGTTCATTTCAACCACACCAAGTATCTTAAACAGATCCAAGTCATTGAACCCCCAGTATTTCCTCTTTCAATGTGTCTTCTCCAGAAATTTAAACTTGGGATACATGATGGAAAGCTGAGAAGGCAGGAGACAAATGACTCGCCATCCTTAGAAGAGCCCACTTAGCTCATTGTGATTAAGTTTAGCACCATAAAACAAATATAAGAAAATTAATCCAATTAAAAATGCATAAACCTGCAGATTAACATTACAGCTGAAGAGGGGGGGGAAGCAAGTTTGTTTTATTTATAGAAAAAGGGCATTGCATGTGTTTTAAATGGGGCCATTTCAGAGATACACTCCCTGCATGTGAGAAGGGTACCTCATTTCTGTCATATCATAATTTGCAGAGCTAACATCGTCAGCAGAAGTAATATTAGTAGCTGAAAGATAATTAACCCCATCAGAATGTATGGCACAAAGGAAGGTATAGTGCTCTGCCTGAGTCTAAAAGAAAGCCAAACGAGAGGACATTGCAACTGCTTCAATGCCAAGGCTCCTCTTAGTACATACACCAGGTTTTTTTTGGGGGGGTATCAAGATATTACCCTTGGAGGTAAGGCTTTGACAGGCACAGAAACCATACATCTTGTATCATTAGAAACATTACTTTTATGCCCAAAATCAATTGCTATACGTTGCAATGAAATTAAGTTAAAGGGTGAGGTGGTGTGGATTAAAGAAGGTATATAAGAGTAAAACTGGTGTAAAACTGTACCCAGCCCCCCAAAAAGCATAACCTTTTGAAATATGACTTAGCTCATTGTGATAAGTTTAGCACCATAAAAATCTCAGGCTCTCTAGTGCACGCCTGCAAGGGGTGCTGTAACAGCAAGGCAGGTTTTCAATGGTGCTCTCTCTCAACACAATCACTCTGAAGCACCAAAATCTACTACCACCAAGAGTGAAGTTGATAACAAGGTTGAAACCTGAGATTTTTCTGAAAGTCCTGATCATACTGCACTCTGTATTGAGGTGCTCATTTCCTTCTCTTTCAAGATTGCAAACAATACAATAATATTGTTTTAACAATGGTGGGGGGCCCTCCTAGTTTGTGAAGGAACTCACCTCTAAGGGGGAAAAAAATTCCTCAAATTCTGCATAAACTCTAGTTCCCCTGGCTAGGAACCGAAGCATAGCAAAAGGAAGAAAGGCACCAGGAGCTAGAAACGGGGCAGAAAATCTCTGTTCCTAATATTGTAATTAGTAAAGGATATTACTGCTAGCAGCTTGATACCTCTCTCATAAATAACAGCTTGCTTTATATCATGTGTGAAACCTATTACTTAAAGCATGAATTTCCAGAGCAGGGGGTACAACAGGAGAAATGTATAACGTGCATTTTAATTTCTTTATGCTTTGCCAGGTTTTCTGTGAATGCACATCACTTTGTAGGCAAATTGTATGCTTCTGCTACCCCTGGGAGATCCTGAGCTGACTCCTAGAGAACAACTGCATTCACCTCGGGGACAATGCAACGCTAGGTCGTCCTCCGAAAAGGCTAAAGGCTAATCGCCCCTGGCATTTATATAACATTCCCTCGTGAATTCCCACTGCAAATCTGTAAGGTAAGTCAGAGGCATTTTCCCCCGTACTGCAGATGTGGCTCTGAGACCAAAAGGAAGCAGCCATCACAAGGCCACCTATCAGGTTCATGGCCAAGATGAGATTTAAACCAGCAACATTTCAGACCACAGTTCAGCCTCTCAGCCATTATGTTAAAATAGCTTTCTTAAAATATATGAAGTGCCTTCCGTAAGTCCAGTTTTACAGCTTATGTCCCCGTGGTGAACCACTGGTTTATCTTATCCAGGCTGTTACTATTTTGCCCCTTGAGAAATCTGGATGCTGTGGACTCCAGTTTCTCAAGTCGCTTTCTAAAGGTTTGTCCAAAGATGTGTATAAATGTGTATTGGGCAAGACTGGCACAATGCTCCCACTACTGTTTTTAAACTGAGCTAAGTCAGAAGAGAGAAGGAACACTAGTCAGGAGGCACATCCCTCTCACACCACATAATTCTGAATAATGAAAGAGTTGCAAGATAGCAAGAGCTCCATTGGGGTCACCCCGAGAGAAGGGCAGTGTGAGCACAGTCAAATGGCCAGTCAAAAGGAATGAGGAGAGGACCTCAAAATAGCCTCGAGATATAGCACTTCAAGGCAAGCCGAGGAAGGTAGAGAAGAAGGCTTCTTCTAACACACAGGCAACGCTTGCTTCTTTCACAGAAACTATTTCTGGATGATGCCTACCAGAACCTTAGCATTATCTCCAGGTCAGAAGGAAAATTCAAGAACAGTTGCAAGATTTTAAAAAAAACCATGGTAATGGAATGGGGAGAGGGACAAGCCAACAAGGCTAGGAACCGAACTATTTACCACCAAACTCTTAAACCCTACCTAAAAGATCTATCACAGTTTACACCAAGAACAGGGAGCAATTTCCCTTCAGAAAGTTGCTTGACTTGAAGTCTTAACTAGAATTTCAAACGTGGGATTCCTGGAAAGGACCAACAAAGTGACCACTATCCTTAAACAGGCTGTGTGTCTGCCATTCTTAAAAGGAGGCAAATACAACAAAGTGGTGACTAAAAAGTTGAATCATACTTTCTAAACTTACCGTCGGCACAAACATTTCTGCGGCTTCCACACATCTTTTTCAACTAGTGTCATTTTATTCATAAATTCCCACACAGATAAAAGGTAAAAGGCAGGGCAGGGATCAAGTGTTTGATTTCTAATAGAAAGATGTATCTCAAGCTTACCCAAAACCCCATAAACTCCTGGCAAATAGAAGGGGAAGATATGGAGACAGTGACAGATTTTACTTTCTTGGGCTCCCTGATCACTGCAGATGGGAACAGCAGCCACGAAATTAAAAAACACCTGCTTCTTGGGAGGAAATTGATGACAAACCTCGACAGCATCTTAAAAAGCAGAGACATCACTTTGCTGACAGAGGTCCACATAGTCAAAGCTATGGTTTTTCCAGTAGCAATGTATGGAAGTGAGAGCTGAACCATAAGGAAGATTGACCGCCAAAGAATTGATGCTTTTGAATTGTGGTGCTGGAGGAGATTCTTGAGAGTCCCCTTGAACTGCAAGGAGAACAAATCTATCCATTCTAAAGGAAATCAATCCTTAGTGCTCACTGGAAGAACAGATCCTGAAGCTGAGGCTCCAATACTTTGGCCATCTCATGGAAAGATAAGATTCCCTGGAAAAGACCCTGATGTTGGGAAAGTGTGAAGGCAGGAGGAGAAGGGGACAACAGAAGACAAGATGGTTTGACAGTGTCATCGAAGCTACCAACATGAATTTGATCCAACTCCAGGAGGCAGTGGAAGACAGGAGGGCCTGGCGTGCTCTGGTCCATGGGATCATGAAGGGTCGGACATGACTTAACAACTAAACAACAACAACAACCCAACATTTCCATTCACCCTCATGCCAGAAGAGTTTTGTCTTATTTTTAGGCTTTTTTTTAAAAAAAAAAGACTGTATAAAAGACGATTGATTTCTTGCCTGCATATATATTCAGGCTGGCCTGTAGGGTAAAAATGATAGGTGAACAAATGCTCAGAGGAAAATACAAGCATGAATTGCAAATAAACATGATTATTCAGGACGGTTGGTCTCCTCACTGCAGATGCCATGCAAATTCCACAGAAATGAGGAAAACATGTTTCTAGAGCGATTGTGACTGAGATCTGATCTAGCTTAGAGTCAAAAATAGTTCCTGACATTATCTTCTGCAAGTCTAAGCAGCTGACACAAATGGGTGCTTCGAACAGCAGGGTGTTGCTTTACACAGTGTGAATATTTACCCTGGAGTTAGTGAGAAAATTTTGGCTTTAAAAACCTAAGTAACGGCACCTGCTCGATTTTTATGTATCATTACTAAGTATTTGAACTAGAACACCAGTGTAGTGTTCTCTAAGTGGACACCACAGCCAGAAAAGAGGAATCAAGGCAAGAATACTCTCTTGACCACATTTGTTCATCTACTGTGCCCACACAAAGAATACAGTAAAGAAGTATCTCTTTATTGACCTACTGAATTCATTTACGTTCTGCCTAGCCTTTAATGAGCTCAAAGCAGAATTTATGATTCTCCCCAATTTATCCTTACAATTTACCCTCTGAGTCTGAGAAAGCAGAACTCGCCCCTGTTCATCCAGAAACTTTCATAACCAGATGGGGGACTGACCCTAAGACTCCAGAGTCTTTGTGCAATGCATTACCTACTACATCAAATTAACATGATACTGGTTTAGGTGGCTTCCTTACTGTAAAGAGTCACCAAAGAAATAGCTTCCAAAAATTTGCATATTTCTCCATAAATTCAAGAGGAAGAACTTGAAATGTAAAGAAATATAAATCTGGGCAAAATCAAAATGGGCAGAATTGGCCATCTCACATGCTGGAGTATTTCCTGCAAGCATTTCAACTGTCTTGTTGGCATTTCTGTCAACATCCAGATTTAAGCAGATGTAAGGGAACATTAACATAGCTTTGGGGAAAGAAATATGTAGACAGTCACTGCTTTTCTGCTTAGCTACTTTAAGCTCTCAGGATAGGGACTCTTGATCCATCCAGTCTGGAAATGGCTGCTGCGACTAGCAGCAACTCTCTAGAATCTCAGGTATAGAAAGTTCTTCCCATCATCTGCCATCTTACGGTTCTACCATTTAAACCAGAGTTATTGTGGCTACTGAACCCACTGCCCTTTAGCTTCATTCCCAATTGACTAGTCCACTGAAATTTACCACCACCACCATCAGTACATCTGACACAGCCAGATGAATTACAAGATCATATTTATAATATCCTTCTTTTTTGGCAAACAATGTCATTCAGAGCCATTCTGTTCTACTGGTAACTGCTGCTGGGATTACATTTTCCAAACTTACTGTCCCCAGTATCATTTACCTATATACTGCATTTAACCCTGACCGCAGTGAACACCCTGTTTTGTATTACTTATGGGCACCCCTCAAGTCTGCACAAAAAGACATGTGTTGCAACAACTATGGAAGTACATGGAAGTGGAGAAAAACAAAAAAAATTAAATGGTGTCATGGAGATTAGCACAGAAACAAGGCCACTGAACATGGGAGCCCACCCAACATGGGAAATGTGCATCCACATTTACCAAAATGAAGCAAACAAGCTCCATCCTGTTCAAATCCAGATATTTAGCTAATGGAGGTGGGCAGGTGGGAGGAATGCCACATTTTTACTAGCCTAATCAAAACTTTTGACACTCTAGAAAGTGCAATTCCAATATCACATAATCACAGCAACTCACACTTAATTTGCAGAATACTTATAAAGAGCTGCAGTTGTAAATGCTGTGTATTGTCAACTGCAGGAGTGTAGCTATTAAATCAACAAAAGTTTTAACTTTGGCATTAAAAGCCTCACTAGAAACAAGAACAAAACTGATTTGACTCTTGCCGGTGCATGGTAAAATTAAAACTTTTTTGATGGTGCCTATAAAAATCCTTAGGAAAAAGGATATTGCCACTATAATTTACACTAGGGTACTTTAAATCATGTTCAGATAGACAGAGCATTAAGAATGGTATGGTTTTTATTTTCTGCAACTGTTTTATTGACAGAGGGTTGTTTGTGCTTTTTGCCTTCTTGTAAAATTCAGAAATCTAACACTACCTGTCCGCATAGAAGGGGAAGCAGAACTTGCTCAGAGTCTGTAGAATTTCCTGTGGAGAGAGAGGGAGAGAGAAAAAAAACAGAGAGATAATTTATACATCTAATGGGACCAATAAATCTAACATTAACCACAAAACACAATCTTGCAACTTTGCCCTGAAGAAACAAGAGACAGATGAAGAGAAATGTGCTTTATCAATTACATGGAAAGAGTACCAAGCAGTCAATCATGTGAAATAATAAACATGATCAAACTTCATTAAAAATGAAAAATTAATCAAGATTCACACATGGGTAAGCAGCAGGAGCCCTCCAGCAGACCTCCAAAGGGAAGAAGGCGGCTGGGCCGGCGTGTGTTAACTCGCCTCTGGGGAGACGCTCCGACCTGACCATATGGACACCAGCAAACACCACCAAGCTAAGCCGGCTCCTTGGCCTGGCAGCATTTCCCCTCTTGGCACAGCACTCGCTTGTATCCTAGGAACAAGAGTGGCAGGGAGTGGGAAAGGCTTCCTGACAAACCACAACACAAAATAATGCCAACAAGGGCTCTTGAGATCAGGTCTCTCCATGTTGTCCCTTCTTTTTGCCACACTGCGGGGAACAACAGACAGCATGTTGAATCTAAGTGAGCGAGTTTACAGGGAGAAAAATGCTTGCTTACAAAGGAAAACACCAAAGCAAACTGGACAGTGTGCCGAGTAAGACAAGGCAACCATGAAGGCAGTAGATATTTTTAGACCATATAAGAAGTTTACATTAATTCACACATTTGTAAAAGCTTTGAAACCACCCACACTGTGCTTGAGGTCTACCAAGTATCATTTTTAAAAGAATTATGGAGATTAAAAGTGGGGCAGTAGGTCTGGCACTCGTGAAGGGACAACATATCCAAAATATGATAGGTAGGCAGAAATCCTGTATTTAGAAATAAGAAATGTTCAATATGGACTCACTAAAAATAACATCACAATGCTCATTTTTTTCAGATATTTACATTTCCAGGAACTGAAAATAAGTCACAGTTGTTTGGGAGTTGGGTGTGTGTGTGTTTCAAAACTGAACTGCATTAAACAAACCTTAGCACACTTGATAAAATTAACGATCGATTTACAAAATGGGGCATTTTCCAGGCCAGTAATAATAAATTATCTGTGCTGGTAGAACTGATGCTTCATGCTTCATTTATTTTTAAAACCACTTCCATCATTTAACAAATAAACCACATCCATCTAATCACCCATTCAATGGAGCATAAAACATATTGACTCTCCTGGCGAGAACATGGTCCTCCTACACAATTCAATTGAGCATGTACCATTCCTTCATATACTTTGAAGTTCAATTGCTCAACAGTGGACAACTTTCTTTTTCTTTTCTGTTTTTTTAAAGAGCTAGGAAGGGAGGTTTGCCAAATTAAAGGTTATGGGCTGGAAGGAAATAGCTGAGCAAGGGAACAAGCAGAGAGAAGAACAGAAGTGGAGGTTGTGTCTGTGTGTCTGGCTGTCTGTCCATCCTAAGCAGTACAATCTAGGCTGGGCAGTTTTATAATCTGTCTTTTAAAAGGGTGTAAGATTTTGTCAGAAAACATAATAAATAAATGTTTTATCCCAGCTCTCTCCTAAGGAAAGACCCAATGTATTTTATATCATTAAAACACAGTTTTAAAGAACTTCTGGTTGTGAAAGCAGGAATGTGTGAAAACTAGAAGTAACACACAGCACTGAGGCAGTCTACTCACATCCTGTGGCTTCCTGTGACGTAGCACAGCACCATAGATCCTTCATTATCAATAAAATTCCAAAATTAACCCCAAGTATACATAGCATAGTAGATGAGGTCTCTTTTGAAGAGCTTGCTGTTTCAAGTAGCTGCATCACGAGTTCAAATCTGCCTTATTTCATGATAATTTCACATCACATCAAGATAATCAAGAACATGAACAGCTGAGGAACTCTCTGCCACTGGTAATTCACCACTGCTTGACTAACTAGTGTAAGCATCGCAGCTCTCTTAATTAATCTGAGATGGTGACAATGGAGTTTAAATTGGTGACACACGTATACCATATGGTGCCGTACCATCTATCTCCCTCATTTTAAAATATGAAGAGTCTCACAAAATCCATGACAGCTTCTACCCATTTAGATTTCTAAAGTATGACAAAACACTCTGACCACAAGTGATCAAAAATTGCTCCTTCCCCTTGCTTTGTGTATGGTAAGGGCTACTTTCTGAGGCTTGGTGAAACAAAAAGAAAAAAATGCCTTATGATGCAGAAAACCAAGGATTTAGCCAGAAACACCATTCTAGTGGTATCTTAAATCTCTCCAAATCTACTTCCAGCTTTAACAATGGCAGAGACCTATTGAGACAACTGAGCAGATTTGTAGGGTTCCAGGTTGCACTGCTGTTTTAATAATGTTGTAGTATTACACACTGCCTAGATGAAGCAGAAAGTATTCACACTAGTGCAATACTTGTGCCTTTCTTACAAGCACCTTATTATGGCAACTTAAGATGGTTACAAGAAACTGCCTTTAGTTTTGCCTCACTTCTCTTGCACATGCATGTAACTAAAATTGTACGTGACTTCTGTAACCACCTGCTTCTTTCCCACCAAAAGAATAAAGTGAGGGAGGAGAAACAAAGCCCAGAAACCAAGCAAGACAAGGGATGCAGCTGAGAAGATGCAAATCACCTTAACTACTAAGGGTCCCCAGGGCAGCGTGTGTCCGATTTCTGGATCAATCCCCAAGTCTGTATTTTTGCAAATCTTTTTATGTGCACTTTGATTTTTTTAACATTTTAATGAGCATTTTAAAAAAAAGAGAGAGAGAGAATCCATATCAGCCAGTCAGTGCAGTTAAAGTGCAGGGCATGAACTGTATCCCATGAGGGGGTCCAGCAGAGCCGTCTCACCGCTGGCTCTAGGATATTTGCCACCTGGCTCTGACATTGTCTCCCCCCACACCACCATGCTCTCATTCTTTTCATAATCAAAACACTTCTGACATTCTAAACCCCACGTGGATTTTCTCCAATCTCTCCTCATTGATCCAACAAACACGTAAATCTATTGGAAACAACACTGCACTCATTGATTAAGCTTAGTCTCAGACCCCCAAGTTTTCAAAGTAAATGAGCCATGGGGCAACCGCACAGTCCCCTGTCTCAAAGAGCAAGCAAGGAAGGCTCAGAAGGAACTGCCTTATGCAAGCTGCCCCAGACAGAGGGCTGCAAGGGACATGGGAAGAGAAGGTTTGCAAGCAGTTCATTATTTACTCACATTTGGAAGCCAAGGAATTTGGGGCAGGTTACATTCTACTTTATTTAGAATGGAGGCAGAGAATTGTACAAAACCCAATGAGACAGAAATCAGGGAACGAGGGAGATGCTTTATTATCCAGTAAACTCCAGAGCTGATGGAAGTGGCAAACTCAAGTTTATCATGTATGCAACCCAACGTTATCATACTGGGTCTCCTTATTCTGTGTCCACAAGACAAACTGTATTTTATCTATTATTTATTAGGTGTGCATGTACATGTTTGTGACTCTCTTTAGAGTCCCTTTACAACTCTTGTTTGTCTATACTGAGGAAGGGAGATGACTTGGTTGTAGATCAAGCTTTACATGTAGAACAACACAGGTTTATCATTGGTATTTCCACGTAGTATGAGGAAGGAAACCTGAACCAAATCCTAGCAAGGTCTGACTGCCAGTCAATGTGACCAACATTGTGCTCAATGGACTAGGGAGTAGATATGACACAGTATGAAGTAGGTTCCTTCCTACATTCCTACACACACAGCTCATTCTAGACTACAAGGCCTTGGTGTGGTTTAGCTCTTCCCTCACCAGAATCTCTGAGCGGAAGAAACATCCCAGGAGAGCTAAAGGCAAGGCAAAGTAAACTTAAGCTTACCCTTTGACATTACATATCCTTCCTCACACCATCTCCCCTACCTCATGTCATTATTCTAGAATGTAAAAGCCTTCAGACAAGGATCAAACCTCACATCTTGTCAAACTGCTGTGTACACGGGTAGTTTCTGCCAATCCTTTTTCCCCCAACACTGCATTTGTCATTCACACCCTTCCTCTCCTGGGCTTACGAAAGACACTCCATGTCAATACACCAAGCTATCCTCCTTCCAGAAACTCTCCACTACTGATTCTCATAGGAACCGATCCTCACAGAAATACATTGTCCAATAAATGTATTTAATCCTACCTCTGTTACCAATTACTGTAAAGTCTCTCAAATGTGGATTTAATGTTGTGCACCAAAAGGACAACAGCTATTAGTGGGAGAAAGTTTTGCTCAAGCAGCAATGGGGGCAATAAAACAGAAAGTTTCTACTGGGCCAGGGACCCACCACAAAACTGGTCCTCAGAGCTGGTGTACATCTAGCAAAGCAAGTATGGTGAATGTGTGTACACACAAACATACAAACACTTGCATATGCACCCTAGACCAAATAGGCAGCTGATCATTTCTCTCACCCCTGAATAACCACAGTTCTCTACCAAATAATCCAGAAGATGAGGCTTCCACATTAGTGTGCATGTAATATACATGCAGCCTGGAAGCAGTGAACAAACATGGATGAGATGCAACACTCAAATGCATAAAGCAGATCCTCTTCCTCATATATTATTGCTCTTCTCCTCGGTTAAGAGGTGAGGGTTTGTTTGTTTTTTTGAAATACACCTTCCCACCTCCCACCCCCAGCCTTCATATTTATTAGCTGTGCAACAAGCAAACTGCAAGGGTGCATTCAACAGGTGTTGGTCAAAATGGTTAATACGGATGCACAAGAGTTTCAGTCAGGCACAGAATCAGATGTAGAGGGAAAAGAAGTTAACAAATGGCAGGGGACAAGCTTGGTATATAAAAGGCTGCAGATTCAATTCGCATTAACTCTAGTTACAAAACAAAGTTTGTTGTAAACAGAACTGCTGAATAGCTCAGGAATTTGTGTATCTGTGCCTCCTTGACAAGGGCTGGACTTGATCCACAGCGTCTCTTCCAGCTCTACAGTTCT